AACAACTTTCAATCCAGCATTGACATGGCACCGTATGAGGCACTGTATGGACGACCATGTAGGTCCCCGATTTGTTGGTTGGAAGTGGGAGAGAATAGCTTGTTTGGGCCAGAGATTGTTCAGGAGACTACGGAGAAAATTCAACTCATCCGGGAAAGATTACGCACGGCACAAAGTAGATAGAAGACCCTTGGAATTCCAAGAGAGGGACTATGTGTTCCTCAAGGTGTCACCCAAGAAGGGGGTGTTTAGATTCGTCAAGAAGGGGAAATTAGCACCAAGATACATCGGACCCTTTGAAGTCATCAAAGTTGTAGGCAAAGTGGCGTATCAACTTTGGTTACCCACTCAATTGTCAGGGGTACATGACGTATTCCACGTGTCAATGTTGAGAAAATGTCAATTGGATACAACACATGTCGTGGATTTAGAAGATATTGAGATTGAAGATGGAGCAACAAATGAAGAACAACCGGTGAAGATTCTCGACACCAAGGAGAAGGTGCTTCACAACAAAGTCATTCAACTGGTGAAAGTCTTGTGGCAACACCATGGAGTGGAGGAAGCTACTTGAGAACCGGAGCTAGAGATGCGAGAGAAGTACCCCTATTTGTTCAATATTTGAGGTAAGTTTTAAGGATGAAACTTTCTTTAAGGGGGGTGGATTGTAAACCCCCACACTTTTATTTTAATAAGTAGCAAGTAAATATATGAAATTTTTTGTAATCGAACTTGTACCAACTATGTTTGATGTCCAAATGTATGTTGTATAAGTTTGGGTTAGTTTTGGAAGGATTTGGAATGGATTAGAAATGAAAAAAACAAGGAAAATAGGCAAAACTGAACAAACCGTACTGGTACGCCCGGAAGTTACTGTACCAGCACGCTACTATCCAGAGAGTTTACCGTACTGGTACTGCGTACCGGTACGCTCTGTAAGTTCCAAAAATTTTAAGTCGCGATCTGGGGTCCACTTTTCACCCTATAAATACCTAATGACACCTCCATTAACCCCATTTCAACATTTTTAACCATAGAAAGTCCTAGAGAGGAAGAAAGGAGGAGAAAAACAAGAGATTAAGAGTGGATTCAAGTTAGGGAAAGATCAAATCTCAAGTTCTTCACACAAAACCAAGGAAGAAGAAGATTGGGATTTTCTTCCATTCTTGTTCATTGAAGATAGGGTTTATATATATATATATATATGTATGTATGTATGTTTTGTTTCTAAACCTTAGATATATGCTATGAAATACTTGTTTCTTGAAGTTCTTAAATATCACCATGTTTTGAAGGTAATTATGGTTTGATAGCCATGAAAACCCTAATTTTGAGAAAAATAGATTTTCTTCTTAATGTTCAATTATTCTTAATTTCAAAACTTTAGTGCTTTATATTGAACCACAAAATGGGTATTTATGATAATCTCTTGCATATTTTTGTAAATTGTTCTATTGGGATACTACTTGTGAAATTTGGGAATTTTTTTTTAATATATTTGTGATTGGAGAAATTGATTGGATATTGTATCTCTTGTGGATGTTTGGATGACCATGGGTGGCTGTTGACCAGATATCATAAAGTGGGTTAGATGCATTTCTTACTCCGTGTGGGTTTGAAGGTTCCCTATCACTTGTAATGGGGTTGGTGCCTTGCAATGACCAAACCACTATTCGCTCACGTGTTATCGAGGTCAAGGGTTAGTATACTATTCCTGGGTTGGATTCGTCACTCCCATGAGTTGGTATATGTCTTTCCTAAAGGTTGGATATCCTTGCGAGAATTTGGGGGTGTGTGTGGGCTAGGATATTCTCGATGTGTTTATTCATGCGAATCATGCATCATACCTGAGATACGAATACAAGTTATGGGTTTATGGTTTCTTGTACCAGAAACGGTTTTCTACAAGAGCTTGTGGAAGTATGAAATTCTACAAGAACTTGTGGGAAATGATTTATGGTTGGAAATGATTTGTTATTTGTAATTTGGCATTATTACTTCACTTAATTTATTGTTATTATGTAAACTTGAGATTTACTGAAATGTCCCTGTTTTTTGTCAAAATTGATATATGATATTTGCGAAATGAGACCGACTGGTTTTATATGTTTTCTAAACCTTGTTCGAGTTTGGAAGGATTTTCCTACAGAGCTTAGTGCTCACCCCCTACAAACATCATATTTTCAAATTATGGCTTACATGAAGAACCCGAAGACGATGAGTAGGTACCTTGGGAAGCTCAAGTGGATGGGCAAATGGATCCGGAGGGGGATAGTTAGGAGTGTTATTTCTATGTCCTAGATTAGGGAATTCCTTGTGAGATAATGTTCATGCGAATATTTTTGTTATTCCACTGCAAGATTAAGTTTGATTCTTTTGAATGTAATGGTCATAGTTTGGCATATTCTTTTGGGATTATGTTGTAGATATTATGTATGATGAATGAAATTTCCTTTATTGATGGATTTTATTAGTGGCTCTCATGATGTGAATGCTTTTTAAAAAGTTATGTCGTCCAAGGTGAGTTTTGGGGCGTTACAATTAGGAAAGAAACCCTATCTCTTATAGCATAATACCGTGTAGGAAAAGTTCCAAAAAACCAAAACCAAGTCTCAAAGCTTTCATCCCAAAAACCTTATCTTTGAGATATTGGTGAAACCCGCGATCTTTGTTTTATATGTGTAGCTCTCATCGAGTAGAATAATCTTTGTTCTTAGCCTGAAGAGATTCGACAGTCGGATTGCTAGAGATCGGAGAAGAAATGAAGAGGAACTTTAATTTTTCTCTTTTATCTCTCTTTTCCAAAAGTTGGCTGAAGAAAATGGGGAAGAAATATGATTTTCTTCCCTTTTTTATACTCCCAAACGCTTGACCCTCGTTAGGCCATATGTGCCTCTGTTGTTTGGTCCAATTTGATCCCGATTCAATTAAATATCCTCCCCGGTTAAGTTTAATACATTTTTATTGAACTAACTTTAAATTATTTTCTGGGTTCTACAAATAAAATTTGATCATGTTTATTTTAGTCGCGCGACCCCCGATTGCTTCGTAAAATGCAAAAATTTCAACTGTCTTGGAATTCAATGAAAATTGACTGAGTTGCTAGATTTTGCAAAAAGAATCCAACGATGTGGTTCATTTCATCATCCGAGTTCTAGAAAATTTTGGATTTTCAACCCGTATCGCAATGATTAAATTACTATTTTACTTTTTAATAAAAATTTAAATTTTACAGGAACCTACCCAAAAATATTAGACCCCATCCCATAAAAGTTGGAATTTATTGAAAAATTTGGACCCCATCCCACAAAAGTTAAACCCATTTAGACAAGTTGGAACCCACCCCCAAAATTTACCTATCATAAAAGTTGAACCCCTACAAAAAAATTTGGAACCCAACCCAAACAATTAGACCCTCTAACTCAATTCAGAACAGTTTGAACTCACCCCCAAAGTTCTAACTCAATCAAAAAAACTTGTAACTTCTACTAAAAAAGCTGGAATCGAACTCAAAAATGTTGAAACTCAACCTAAAAAAGATAGAACTCGTACAAAAAAAGTTAATCTTAAATAGTTGAATTTAAATGTTAATTGGATGAATTAAGTTTTTATTAGATGAAATAAAATTTTAATTTTTTGAATTAAATATTAGTTTGTTATTCATTTGATGAATTAAATTTTATTCAATGAATTTCTATATTTCTTTGGTGTTGATTTGATAAATTAAATTTTTATTAGATAATTTTTATGTTGACTTGATGAATTGAGTGTTAACTATATGAATTTGATTATAAATCGAATAAATTGAATGTTAATTTAGTGTTAATTTGATGAATTGAATATTTATTGGATAAAATTGAATATTAGGTAAATTTGATGAAATAATGTTTATTAAAAGAAATTGAATGTGAATTTATGAATAAAATATTAATTATGTGTTAATTTGATAGATTTAATATTAATTAGATAAAATTGAATACTAATTTGAAGAATTTACAATTGAATGTTAATTTGTATACTCTAGAGAGAGAAGCTCTGACTACTCTCTAGAATTTTCTCCTCTTATGAGTTCTTCACCAAGCACATCCAATATACCACCAAAACCTCTAGATATACCAACATAACCAATAGATCAATCATCAAAACAACTAGTTTCTTGTCCTACACAACCAAATCAGCATCAACAAACACAAGATCATCATCAAAATCATCTAACTTTTGCTTCCCTTTTCAAGAAGTCCTCTCAATGTCATTCTATAAAGGAGCTAGTTTCTAAGATTGATAAGCCAATAATTTTCTATGAAAGAGAGACTGCATTTTACTTTAACAATGAAGAAGTTATGGCTTCATGCCAATCACTGCAATATAATCTTATTGGAAAATGCTCTTATGGTAGACCATCTTTGGGAGTTATCAAGGAAGTCATCAAAACCAAGTGGAGTTTTGAAGGGAAATTTTGAAAATAGGCTCACTGGATCAAAGACATGTTCTAATCAGATTTCAGTTGCATGAAGACTATGTAAAAATATGGCTCAAAGATGTCACTTTGATTGAATATTATCTGTTCAAATTCTTTAGGTGGTTCTCGGGCTTTGTTCCAAGTATAAAGCCTTTAATTGTGCCCATGTGGGTGTCTTTGCTTGGGCTGCCATTGAATTTTTTGAAAAGCAATATCTAGTGTTATTGGTTAAACCAAAAGGCAGAGTATTAGCCTATGATCAATCCACACTATCTTTGTCAAGGCCTGGGTAGCGAGAATATTGTGGAAGTGAATTTATGAGCAAAGAATCCTTCAAGAATTTGGATTGATATGGGTAATGAAGGAGCAAGATGGTAGAAGATAATCTATGAGAAGTCCAAGAAATTCTGCAAGGTTTGCCAGAATCAAGGCCATGGAGAAGACAATCGCAGGAAAAGGAAAGTTGATTTAGAAGGCAAGAATCCTGAATTGTATTGATAACGTAACTATTGATAAAGGCAAAGGAATTCAAAATTTGCAGCTTGGTAATCAAGTTAAGCCAAGTAAAGATGGAAAGAATGGGTCAAGGGAGATCCCAGAATCAGTGAGGTTTACCATAAATAAGCCACAGAAGGTTTGGAAACAAAAAAAATCAAATTCATTCATCTGCAAAGATTTATGTTGATCAACCAGCTGTTAATTGTGATTTGAACGTTAATGAGCAATCCAATGGTGAAGTTACTTTGTTCAATGTTACATTTAGTTTTGAACAAGGTGTTCATACTGGGAGGGATAGTGCTTTGAATGTTAATGTGCAATCCAATGGTAAAGATTCTTTGGTTAATATTCCAGCAAATTTCGAGCAAGGTGACCATTCTGGAAAGGATGATGTGAATCCTTATAAGCAAATAGAGGATGAGTTAGTTACAAATCAAGTGGATAATGAAACTCATGTGCATACACCTGTCAAGGTTCAAGATTCTCGAAGTTTTACTATTCTGAATAAACAATTTTCTGATGTTGTGGATTCTACATTTTTTCTTGACCATAATTAAGCTTGTATAGCAGGCTCTAGGATGAGTCTTGATGATGATAGAGGGTTGCAAAATGTCAAGGAGCCACCTGATAAAGGTTTCCATTCAGATGGGGATCTCTCAAGAGGTTTGGATAGTGAAGAGGAAGACTCTCATGCTTCTGATGTTGCAACAAATTATGATGTACAACTTCATAATTTGCCACAACAGGGAGTTGTTACTAGATCCAGATCTAGCAAGAATTCTCCCCCCCCCCCCCCCAAGCAATAAAATGATAAGTACAATCACTTGGAATGTAAGGGGTGCAAATCAGAAGGCATCAAGACTCTGGTTAAGGAAGTTAGTTAAAATGCATGATGTTTGTTTGGTTTCCATTCTTGAACCTAAGATAATGCCATCAAAGTTGAGTCAATTATGTAGGAGTGTGGGATTTTCTTCTTACTTAGCCAATCCACTAGTTGGTAAATTTCTTTGGATTCTATGGCATCATCGGATGAAAGTGAAGGATATAGAAGCTCATGAACAAGCACTAACAATAAAGGCTTCTTTCTTGGGGTCAGAACCCTTTCTCTTTACTATTGTTTATGAGAAATGTGATCATATTCTGAGAAGGGATTTGTGGAGTCATTTAGCTGGTCTTCCAATTTCTTTGAAGCCATGAATGGTAGTTGGGGACTTTAACACAATAGTATCTTCAGCTGAGAGGAAGGGAGGTAATGCTCCTAGCTTATCTATCATGAATGAGTTTATTACTGCTATTAATTATTTGGCCTTGTAAGATTGTGGCTTTTCGGGTTCCACATTCACTTGGTATAATGGCCACCAAGGGAAAAACAAGAATGTTGCAATGTTTGGATAGCACATTGACCAGTGTGGAGGGGGGGAAAGGTTCCTAAGTACAACAATGGAGCATGCTAGGAAAGGACAATCTGACCACTGCCCATTGATTATTAAATTTACAGAATCCGTTGCACCTCCTAGAATTTCATACTTCAGATTTCAAAACAAGTGGACGGAGCATAATGGTTTTTTACAATTAGTGGGGATCAATTGGTCAGGTCAATACTCTACAAATCCAATTGAAAATTTCATTCTTAAATTAAAGTACTTAAAGTTCACATGAGAAGGAGGAATAAAGATGTCTTTGGTAATGTCTTTGATAATATAAAAGAATTGGAATTAAAGTTTGTTAGAATAAAAGAGGTTTTTGAGAGGGATGATACACCAATCAACAATCAAGCATTGTTGAAGGTTAAGGCAGATTTGGAAAAAGCTTTAAGAATTAAGGAAATTTTTTGGAGGCAAAGAGCAAATGTGAAGTGGATAATGGAAGGGGATAGAAATACTAGACTGTTCCATGCTTTAGTTAAGAGCAAAGTTGTAAGGAATAGAATAGTACGAATTAAGAATGCAGCAAATCAGTGGGTGGAGGATGAGCAAGGCATTACAACATGTGTTGTGGATTTTTTCTCTGTTCTATAAACTTTTGAGCCATATATATAGATGAGGAGCTATTTTATTTAATTCCACCATTGGTGACAGCTGAAGATAATCTTATGCTCACTTTCCTAGTTACAATGGAGGAGCAAAAGGAGGTCATTTTTTCTATGTTTGTTTATAGTCTCCTGAGCCTGATGGTTACTTAGGTCAGTTTTTTCAATCAGCATGGGACATTATTAAAATGGACTTGTTGATAGCGCAATTTTTTTCCTTCAAGGAGGAGAAGTCCCTAGGTCTATAAATGCAACCTTGATAACTCTAATCCCAAAGACAGATAATCCAGCATCTTTCGCAGAATTCAAACCTATTAGTCTGTGTTATTTCCTGTATAAGGTTTTTACTAAATTCTAACATCTATATTAAGCTCTTTGCTTCATAAGTTGATTACAGATGAGCAGCAAGGTTTTCTTAAAGGTAGGAGCATTGGGCATAGTGCTGCACTGGCTCAATTTATGGTAAATGAGATGGACAGGAAAGTGCAAGTTAGGAATGATATTGTGAAGCTAGATATGATGAAGGCATTTGATAGGTTGGAAAATGCAAGCTGGGAATGATATTGAGAAGTGAAATTAATTATATCACTGATGTAGTTGAATTAGAAGATTTGGATTGATTTTGAAATTGATCAAGGAATGTGTGAAATAAATTTTGTGTAAATCTGAGTGTTAGAGTGTTATTTTATTGTGTTATGTTATTAAATTAATATGTTAGTGTTTAATTGTATTATGTTAGTGTTTAATAGGAAGGTAAGTAGATTAGTAGCATAATTGTGGAGTTAATCTGACATTCGAAACTATAGGAAAATAACTGAAAAAGGAAACTTAAGCAGAATTCCAAGGGACAGCAGCCTGCAGGAGGCAAGCCAAAAACCAGTGCATCAACACCGTCTGGACGGTGGTGATGGCATCCGGACGGTCCTACCCATTTAAATACTAGACAGCATGAAGCAGAACAGTTTTCAGAATTCCCTCACAGCAAAATACGAAAATAGCGCTTGCACTCTGCCTTTTCTCCTTAAATCAGATACACATATCTGTTTTCTTTCAAATTTCTTTTGATTAAACACTTACCCGTGCCATTTTATAGGTTCTTACCGATTGAAATCAGTTAAAAGAAAAAGTTTAGAGAGAAATCAAGAAAAACATGGATCCAAGACTTAGAACAAGAGGCCAATCTTCGCAACCCGAAGCACCTCCGCAGCAATCCCAAGCACAAAATATCTTTAATACTATGTTTTTTAAGACCATTGAACAATAATTCTAGGATTGAATTGACGAGGAATCCAAACTATGTATGGGGGAGGCCGAACAAGTACATTAAGTAAGGGGATTTGATAGACAAGTACCGAATTTTGAATTTGATTATTGTGAATAGTCTATTACCCCAAGCCCAGAAAAATCATATATACACTGAGCGAGCCTACTTCCTATATGATTTTGGTATGTGACATACAATTGATCTCACTAACTTGATCATGGATCAGATGTTAATTATAGTGAAAACAAAGAAACCCTCACTTCCATATGTATGTTAGTTTCTAAGCTTTGCAAAAATAAGGGGGTGATCACGGATCCCGCATGGTCGATGGTGGAGCACTTTGCACTGTTAGACAAGACTTTTTTGAGAAAAATCCATGGAGTCTAGCCTGAGGAGCAGGCCGAAGTACCACTCACACTATATGAAGAACCATGCCAAGGAGTCGAAGATTTTCACCCACCAGAGAAGCCTCAGCCACAGGAGGACCAGCCGTATATACCAGTCAATGATAGGTCCAACAAAAAGATTTTGCTAGGGTTGGAGATGAGTGTGACCTAGCTCGGGACCAACATCGCCCAGATCAATCAACGCATAGCTGACTATGAACATAATCAGAGTGAGATATCGAGGCTACTCAGAGGACATTTCGGTGGAGGCCCTTCTACTTCCTAATCAGAGACTTTTCAAGAGATTCCACATCATTATCACTTCTACTACTACTTTCCTGAACACTTTTTAAATTCTACATTTTTATTTTAGTATTTACGTTTTGAATGGTGTTTTGAATTTTGTTTTTGAATTAATCTAGTTTATGTTTTGGATAAATTTTGTAAGTTACGATGTGTATTTCATGCAATTCACATTACAATTAGGTTATTATTCTTATGCTTTGCAGAAATACCCTTAACCCAATTACGCGGGATTTTCATATCTTGGTTGTGCACTATCCTAATGATTTCTCAGAAACTCGTTATTCTGAACACATAAAATTCCTTATTTTGAGAAATGTTTTGAAATATTACACTCCTTTATTAAGCTTACATATGTAATGGAGATGTAAAACTTATTACAAATTTTGAGCTAATCCTCATTGGAGAGATATTTCACACTTACTCAAGTAAAAAATTTTGATTCAGGGATAAATTTTTTTGAATAATTTCAGTATTTTTGTTTTGATTAACGCTCATTGAATTACATGGTTAGCATTTTTCTTAAATTTTCAATTTGGAACTATGCAGGTGTATGATTTCTAAAAAATGATCTTAGGCCATCTTTGATTAAATTTTAAGCCTTAGTCATTTCTTTTATAAAATTATATCCCTAGTTAGCCGTGATTGAGCCTAAAAACTATAAATTCTTTTTCATAAAACCCAGAAGTTAACCAGGCCACAAAAAAATATATTTGACATACCCTTGCTATCTAATTTTCGTGCACCCTCTTCTAAAATCAGTATGATATGAAAAAGCAAGAGTGGAAGAAAAGGAAGAAAAGAGCAAAAGAAAAGAAGGTGGTGATTACTATTCAACGAAAGAAAAAAGTCTGTGGAAGAAAGCAAGACAAAGAAAGAAAAGAAAGAAAGAAAAGAGCAAAAGAAAAGAAGATGGTGATTATTGTTCAACAAAAGAAAAAAGTTTGTGGAAGAAATCAAGACAAAGAAAGAAAGGAGCAAAAGAAAAGAAGATGGTGATTATTGTTCAACGAAAGAAAAAAGTTTGTGGAAGAAAGCAAAACAAAGAAAGAAAAGAAAGAAAGAAAAGAGCAAAAGAAAAGAAGATGGTGATTATTGTTCAACGAAAGAAAAAAGTTTGTGGAAGAAAGCAAGACAAAGAAGAAAAGAGCCAAGAAAGTAAAAATTGAGAAGAAAAAAAATGAAAGAATGAAATACCATGTAAGTGAAAGTCTTGAAAAGCTAGAAAGAAGTGTGCCACAACACTAAGAAAGAATAGTTGTTGAATACCATTGACGTCGTTTCTTAAACCCTAAACCCATGACCACGTTATAATCTTATTAAAGTCCTTATTGATTCTAGAAGTCATGCATGTGTATTATTTCCGCTTATTCATGAGGAAGGGAAAGTGTTGATTATGTGTTTGATGTTGTGTTAATATTCCTTCATGAGATTATGTCAAATTCCTGTTTATTCAAATAACTGTTTTTTTTATATATTACATGTGAAATTATTCGTTTTGATTAACAGTATTCATATCACATGTAATTTTTGAGTGATAGTCACTATAACAAGAGTGTGTTCATTGCTAAGTAA